GCAGACCTAGGCACAACTCACACACCACATACGGTCTCATTTTCAATCAGATGTTAACTTTCTTTAGAAGTGTGTATCTCCTGCTCTGTAAATCGAACTTTAATCACACACAGGAGGCTCGTGTTTTTTTTTTTTTTTTTATTAACATCCCTTATCCCTGTGTCTGTTATGTTGTCTTACCACATTGTTGCTTTAATGTTGTCACTCATTCAGTGAGATATAAGATTTGTTTACAATGCATCCATCTTTCTTGAAAAATCCAATTTTCTTTGGGAGAAACGCACTGAATGGATTTAATAGAAATTCGAATTTACTGGACAAGGTGGTCCTTGTAAAGTTAGTCAAGGGAGTTTTTTTCCGAATACTGTGATCCTTCTTCAGATCAGAAAATGTATTATTTATTTATTTATTTGATTTAGTGGCTGTCCCCTAACCATCAAGGAGGAGAAAAGATATTTTGTATTTTTTGTGTGAAAGCTGTGTATAAAGTACAAAAAATGGTTGTAGTCAAAACAGTTTCATGGCTATAACATTTGTTTTAGTTTCATCTCTGTGCCAGTCACGATAGCACATGTCATTAGTGTCACTGTGGATAGTCTATTAAAGGAAAACAATAAGGCACCCAGAACACTTTTAACCCTTCAAGTAAAAAGATGGCTGTTCTGCAGGAACTCTGATATTTCTATCAGATATAAAGCTCTATATATATGATATAAATCTCTAATATTTCTATCACTGAGACCATGTGATTGGCACAGTGAAGCATGCGCACTAGTCTCCCAATACTTTGCTTTGGGAAATCATGGGGGCAGGGCAGCAGCATGGAAACCAGTGCTGCTAGGTAGAAAAGACCTTTTTTACTCTCTGCATGTGTGGGCCAGAGACCTACGTGGCTACAAGGGCACTATATTCCTAATGTTATAGACTTTTTTTTAACCTAATATAGCACACAGTTGTCTTCCACAGTGTGACAGAAGCTCCCATGCCATGGCCTTTTGGAGAGGCTTGAAGGCCAGCCTCTTGCCCTCAGTCTATGGACCTGATCCTAAGAGCCTCTGAAAGGGGCTTGTGATAGTGGCAAATGAAAAACAAACAGTTTTTTCTTGATAACTATGCCGTGCTCTCTGCTAATTAAATGAAAATGTGTACATTTGCACAATGCTGGTGTGCAAATGAAGCCAGCCAATAAAGAAGTTAAATGTATATAGTATTGCTTTTTTAGTGTGTTTGAAAATGTTACTTGCATTATATAGTTTATGTACAAAGATAAATAGGGGCTGCGCCACTGGGAGTAATAGAATACAGTCAATGACAGGAAGTCCAGAGGTAAAAAGAAAACCTTTAGCTTCACACCAGATGGTGTCTTTATGGTATATTCAACAGGAGATGTGAATTCTTAAAGCTTGGGAATGGTATCCTTAATCAGTCTCTCTGATATTCGGTCATATGAAACGGAGAGAAGAAGAGAGAAAGGACCTAATAGTGCAATATGTATCGTATAAAGTGGTTATAGTGGAATAATAATAAAAATGCACTCACATTTGGCAGAGCAATAGCCAGCTCTAGCTGGTATAATCCCCAAGATATACTGTAGGTATGCTCAGTCTTTGGGTTAGCTGGAGCTCAAACGACAACAAAATTAGGGGGGAAAACAGTAGTGCTCTCAAGATATATAAATTATACTCACATAACTTAGAGCAGGCAGACTGCTCTCTGGTATCGGCTCTGGTAGCATGATCCCCACCTAGGATTTCTTTAGAGTGGTGGTTAAAAAGCCAGGTAACAAAAAATGAAAAAAAAAATGTACATTTTTTTTTTTGCTTTTGAATAGTTCCTGTCATTGACTATATTCCATTACTCCCTGTTGTGCAGCCCCTATTATCTTTGTACATTTCTGTTTTTTTGTTTAAAGGGTGAGAGGGATCCCCTTTGTTGTGGTTGCTGTCTACCCATTGATATATTAGTGCTTATCCATTTCTTATGTAATTATATAGTTTATGTATTAATTATAATTGCTCGTTCTCCTGTATTCTATATTTGTATTTTAAATGTTTTTTACAACATGCTTAAGAACTAATCGGCAAAGGCAAGTCCTTGTTCAAAAATAAAGTATTATATGTTAGTTCCTTTTGGAACTGTGTGTGTCACGACTATTGTATGACCCAACACGCAGAACTATGATAACACAAAACATAACGTATACAGAGCCTTAGAATGGCCAGACTTAACTTTACAGAGTAAGATCAATAAACAAGCCAAGGTCGGGGATACAGAATGAGACAATAGGAAAATACTAGCCAAAGGTCAGGAAACCAGAAGTAGGGAAACTCAAAAATACAACCCAATGACAAAAACCAGAAAATATGAACAGGAATGCGCTCTCTGACAACCAACAAGTGGAAACCATGACAAGGCACTGAGAAAAGACATTACAGGGTTTAAATATGCCTCTCAGTGCTGTGATTAGTCCCTTAGAACACTGCACCAGCTGGGACCCGTCTCACTGCGCCGCGACCCAGGTGAGTATTAATTTCCCTTCTCGATGCGACCACCATGCTCTATGTGCGGCTAGAGTATCTGTGTGACCGCACTAATCAGGCACGGGTACACCGATACAATACCCCAGTGTCGTGACATTGTGTCCTGTATCTAATTTGTTCAGGGATCCCAGTAACAGAGTCTTTGGGCCTGTTGGCTGGTTGCACGGTCCCTGTAGCATGGCACAAAATCAAAATAGCTTGACCTTAGAGCCACAGATGCCATTGCAAAGGCAAGAGCTATTTACAGTGCAGGCAGAGGAGATGATACCTGCCTGGAAAGAGAGAGCGGCAGCCTGGTTGGGTGGAAGAGCTCAGGAGAGCCTTCTTTCAAGTTTTGAAAGCATTGCAGGGTCCCTGAAAGAAGTAGAAAGCGACTTGGTGGAGGTACTCGGTCGGAGTACTGGAGCCTCGTCACACACAGCACCTTGAACAAACTTGTATACCTGAACCCACAAAGATAGTCTCTTTCCAACTCTGAATATAGACACAAGGTTAAGGGGAAACATAAACTCTGTATCTCTAACCTGAACAGAGATGTTACATTAACTCCATCCATGAGTAGCCCTAATTTGAAGACACACGGATCATCAAAACATCAGAATAAAGAAGTTTCAGTCACAACCATGGGTGGAATGGCTAGGGCTGCATAAACAGAAACAAAAGTTATTGTAATCTTAAATGGCAGAGAACTGAGCAGAAAGACTGCAGGGGCATGATCTACACCAGGGGTAGTCAACGTAGTCCCTATCACCCACTAGTGGGCAGTTTGGGATTTCAGGTGGGCAGTGGTGAGCTCTGCAGAAAACACTCAGTGGGCCTCAATGGCCATGGACCAAGGTCGGCAGGGGAGATCCTTTCATCTCCCCTGCTAGTCCATGCAGAGCCAGCCTTGCTGTAAGCCCTCTTGGGCTGGTAAGGAGATTAAAGATTTCCCTCTGGCACTTAGTTCCAGCAGAGGGAGGGAATGACCTGGGAGGCTCTGTGTGTCTCCCTCGGGCAGGCTGGTAGGAGCATTGCTGTGCATTACTATGGCAACACTCCGTTACAGTACTGTGCTGGCAGGAGTAGAGGAGAGTCAGCCTATAGACTGAGGAGCTGCAGGCTAAAGTGAACATGCCACCAGAGGACCATCAGGGCTTGCAGCATTATGTCTCCCCTCCCTGGTAAAAGGTAAGAAGAAGGGAGGCATAGACATTAGGATAGATTTTCACATTTTACCCACCTACACACAGCATAGACCCTCCCCCCCCCCGACATACACAAAAACATACTACACACATGACACACACCACACTCCTTACACACACTACACCCCGACTGCCCCCTCACATATGCACTGCCCCCTCTTACACGCACAGCCCCCTCACACACACACAGCACCCGTCACACATGCACAGCACCCCTTAACACACACACTGCACCTTTCACACACACACACACACACACACATGCAGCACCTCACAGATACAGATATAAAAAATGTACTTGAATGTATATTTTTTTTCTATTTTCTATTCCATTGTTTTTTCTATGTGTGTCTATGAGGTGCTGCGTGTGTGTGATCTTTTAAAAAAAATCGCACTTGCACTATAAAATTAGTTACGGCGGCACTGGTGGACGGTAAGGAAATGTTACCATCAACAAAGATACAAAAGTGGGCGGTAAGTATTAAAAGGTTGACTACCCCTGATCTACACCAATGCTGCCTAATTAAGCTAAAGTTATTTTGCTGCGTAGAGTGTTCCTTTAACGCTAATGTAACTCCACCAAGTTGTACAGAGGGTAAATCTAACCTAAAGTGAGCTAATAAAAATGCTCTTATGAATGATTCTGTAATGACACTGTTTTTTCATGTGCAGTGTAACTTTACAATTATACTAAGGTAACTCAACATTGTGACAGAGAGATTTTGAAAGAATATTTATAACATTAAATATAATGGTGTTTAAATGGCACTAAACATTTAAATGTGTTGTTCTGACACTGTTTTGACATTGGTATTGTAACAAAAGACTGATAAATACCATTGGTTATTACAGTATTGATAACTCACAAGTTTGATGTGGCATGAACATTTATCTATTTATTATTGTATGTGGCTATATTATACTAATAGAAATGGTTCTTGTGCCATTTTAATAACTGGGGATATTACTAAGAAATTATTGTAAACTGTCCATAGTTCTGCAGAGAAAATTACTATTTTAATTAGCAATAATTGTGAAACAATTGGCCAGGCATACACATACAACTAGAATGATAAAACCAAGGAAATACTTCATTTTGTACAAACTGCAAAACTTCCCGGGGTATGGGCTGCCAATGGTAGATCTCCAGAGACTTTTGTCCCGGGCCATTCTTTCTAGTTGACTCCAGGTGTTGCCCACCCTTGTGATGTCTGCCTTGAGGTCGGGTCGCCAGGTGTTTCTTGCATGGCCCCTCTTCCTCTTTTCTTGGGGGTTACACCTGCAAGCCTGCCTGGTGATGTTGGTGTGTGGTTTGCATAGGGTATGCCCTATCAAGCTCCATCTTCTCTTCCAGATTTCTGCCTCTGTTGAAAGTTGACAGGTCCAGTCGATGGCGATGAGGAAGAGGAACAGGGATAATAAGCATCATTGTCGGACTCCAGTCTTCACCTAGAAGCTGTTGGCAAGCTGTCTTCCGTGGATCACTATGCAGGTCATTCCCTCGTATGAGCTCTTGATCAGGTTGACCACCTTGGCTGGTATCCCGTAATGCCGGAGGAGCTTCCATACGACCTCTCGATCCACACTGTCAAACGCCAGATAAATAGCTGCCTCAATAAAATATATGCCATTGAGTTGAATAATACCATGTATAACCCAGGACATACTTTACAATGACAGACAATGGCAAAGTAAATATCCTGTTAAAACCCGCACTATGATTATTACCAGACTCAAAGAATTGTTTACAGAATGTTGTATGATGCCTGGTTTTGTAACATTCCTGATGGTAACTCAACGAGACAGCAATAGAATATGACCTGCGCTCCTCACTGCTTGATAAAAATATCTACTGATATGAATGTCATTCAGCTACAATGAACTTAAATGCTGATGTTGAATACATAAGGCACTTGGCTGTTTGGAAGCAGAAATATATCTACTCTGCTTTATTACCCATCTAGCTTGTGAATGATGAGATCAACAGGACCAGATGTAAATAAAGAGCTTTTAGAAATACACTCCATTAGCCTTGACAGTTCTCTTTGGGTCCTCAGTCCTTTTAAAGAGTAGTAGGATTTTGATAAACTGTAACTCATATTTTCATAGCAGCATTTATGTATGGATTCCAGTTCCTGAGACAAGGAAATAAAAAACACAGAATGACGAGAGAGGACCCTGAGATCAATACTCTCCTAATGGATCCGGCACAGTTGTAAGACCATGTGGGACAGTTGTGAGGTCAGGTGGGACAGTTGTGAGGCCATGTGGGGCAGTGATGAGACCATGTGGGACAGTTGTGAGGCCATGTGAGGCCGTGATGAGACCATGTGGGACAGTTGTGAGGCCATGTGAGGCCGTGGTGAGACCATGTGGGACAGTTATGAGGCCATGTGGGGCAGTGGTGAGACCATGTGGGACAGTTGTGAAGCCATGTGGGATGAGAACAGATACAGAATAATTAATTAATTCAACACAACCATTAAACATTACAACAGATTGTACAATGGTGACCAATGTGCAAGTGAATGCAATCATTATCTGAAGGCTCACAATATGGTATACCCATTACTCCAAAGTGGTATTCAAATGAGGGAACTGAAAATATTGCTCTGAATTAATAAGACAATGTATACTTGTCACTGCTATTTGTCTGTGAACATAATTACACCTCTAATGGATGCATATTTAGGACTTTATAAGAGCAGCAAGAAAAAATAAATAAATAAAAACAATTCCCATGGAACCTAATTATATATATCTGGATAGATTTTGTGTATACAAAGTATACATTGATGAATACCATAACATTAGTAAATATAAAAGGAAGCATATTATCTAAGACTTCCAAACATCAATATCAATGGTGATCATTTTAGTTTAAAAAAAAAAAAAGAGACAGAATGATAGACAGCTAAATAAATAGAAGCAGACAAATGAAAGAAATAGAAAAGATTTAAATGGATTTAATATGTAAAAAAAGATGGAGACAGATAATACACAGAGAAAATGAGAGATAGATAATGAATGAGAATAGAAAGGCATTAGATAGATATGTGTTAAAAAGGATAGTAAGGTTAGAACAAGATATGATTAGATACTTAAATAAAAGACAACAGGAATAAAGATTTATGAAGAAACATAAACATATAAGTGAAATAAAAATAGATAGATAGGTACATAGATAGACAGACAGACACGTACAAACAACAGGCAGATGGATGGATGACTGGATAGACGGATAAATGGATAATTAGAAGATATACAGATAGACAGACAGACAGACAGAAAGATAGATGGATAGATAGATAGATAGATAGATAGATAGAAAAGCTGAAAGATAAAGAGACAGAAAGACATATTTACTGCGGCAAGTCTAAAAAAAAAAGAAAATTTTCTTTTAAAAGCGATTGATTTTTATTTATCACCTTTTTTGATTTCTCAGTAATATCCCAGTAGAGGTTATTAAGTTATGTCAGCTCATGAAATGACAGTTCTGTTTACAGAGGAAGACAAGTCATTTTCATGTTGAAGAAAATGGGAGAGAGTTCCTCCCACACTAAACCTTTATTTTAGGAAAGTAATGAAATGAGAAGCAGTACAAATTATCTTGCTGCAAATTCTGTTTCTGCATGAGAGAAAATTACCTTAGCCTGGAAATGTATTTCTGTTTAACAACATTTCTAGTTTTAGAAAAATAGAATGTTCGTACTAGAGTTAATAGCTCAAGTGCTTTGTTGAAATTGTTATTTGGGTTATAACTGATGAATTTATAGCTTTCATTAATGTCTATTGCTTATTAAATTCTTTCACTTTATATAATGTGGAAATGTCTACCATTAGGCAGAAAAGAGGATAAAAGATTCTCAATCACAGCTTCTATAAACTTTTTTTAAAATTAAATTACATTCTAATTCTTTTTTTGTGTTTTTGTTAAAGGATACATATATCTAGAACAAGCTAAACTATATTTAATGTTCACATTCCTAAGGTTTGAAGATACAGATAAATCTAAAAAAGCAGACGGAGCTCAATCAAAGTTAATTCGATTAAACTGGACCTGCTACCATTTTAGATTCTTAGATTCTGGGAGCTCCGTCTTGATGTGATTTTTTAATTTTTTTACATTTTTCTAAATCCTGCTGCACTTGCTTGTGCACCGCATCTCCAGCATAAGTCCGGGGAAGCGGGGAACAATCGGTGTAACTGTGATGGTGTATAGTACCATGTTGCTATGCGTTTGTAGTGACTCTCGTGTACTTGATTGTTTATAGATTATATGTATAATGTTGAGAACATGGTTGTCCATGTTTCAGTAGGTATAGAAATATCTAAATATAAAACTCTACTGGAAAAAAACTATAAACTGACCAGGAGTAAGTAGATATAGTGGAAATAGAAAATGAAAGTGCAAAATATAAACAATAGGATATAACAAGAATGAAAAAATAAAAATAGAAATAGATATAGACTTTAGTGCATGATAAATCTACTAAACAGTGATATAATGGACATAAAAAAAGTCTAAAATTAGACTTAAAAAATAAAACTCAAAATCAAAAATTATAAATGTATATTGCACATAAATCAAAGTCCATCTGGATAAGACAACTAAACGTAGGTAAATAAATAAATAAATAAACAATAATCTGTAGCTGTATCAGCTAAGAATGATCCCAGAAGAATTCCCTACTATGAAACAAGCAGGAAAATATACTGGTAAAGCTAAAGATAATATAGTATCAGTCTTGTATCCTAAAATAAAATACAGACTGATACATAAATCTTAGGATGATGTATCTAAATGATTACAAATCATCAGTATATAGTATCATAAAAAACAGCTTGAAGTACATAGAGTCTGTGCAGAATTCTATAATATACAATACAGAGACATGGTGCTCTCTGATAGAGATTTTAAAAGATAAAATGCACACCCAAAAGGGTTCAAAGTGTGGGCAAATGGTACTAGGTCGGTAACCTACAGTCCAGAAAATCCTAGTAGCTTCCTCCTGCCGGCCGGATCGGGGGAAGTGTGGATTTCTGTGAGGTGTCAGACACTGGATGTCCTGGGAGGTTTATAAACCGAAGACGGTCGAACTGATGCTATCCTACGATCACAAAACACATAAGGCAAGCATCATACTCAAAGCTTTCAGAAGGAAGTCAAGTGGAACGCACGCGGCGATCATCCAGTGTCTGACACCTCACAGAAATCCATGTGTTTTATATATGTTTTGGAAAATGTTTATATTTATGGAATATGTTTTAGTAGCTGCAGAATAGTAGGAGTAATCCCTTGCATGGGGGTGGGTAGTTCGCCATCCATCATATAAGTGGGCAGAGTCTAACAGATCTTTTAGTCTTTTTCTAGTGGACGCTTGATATGTGGAGGTGAGAGAAGTGGTGTCTAAGATAGAGTAAAGTGACATGTTAAGATCACCTCCAAGAATTAGGATACCTTCAGTGAATCGTTCTATTTTTATTAAACACTTTCTAAATGTTAGGCCCTGTTTTCTATTCAGTAGATATAGAATGGCCAATGTGATCATATTTTGGCCTAGTTGACCTTTAACCATGAGTAATCTACTTTTGTCATCCTGTTGATGCTCTTTATATAAAAACGGTACATGGGATGCAAACAGTATGGCTACCTTCCGTGCTTTGGTCTTGGAATAGTTGCTGAAGTACCCATTTGGGTATTTGCAATTCTGTAGTTGTGGGGCAGCTCCTTCGCGACAATGAGTTTCTTGAATGAAAACGATTTCCGCCTTCACTTTCTGGAGGTAATTTAATAATAGGGAGCGTTTTTCTGGTGTATTAAGACCCATAGTATTTAGGGTGACCAGTCGCAAGGTAGCCATAGTATCCACATACTAATTGAAAGCAACCCGAATCCCGCCCCTCTGGAGGTACACAATAATAAATAAACTAACAAACTATGTTCATTCAGAAAAAGAACAACATCCCATTCTATATTTTGCCACCACCTTATTCGACAGTGACCTTGCTGAAACCGGAGTCGATACCCAGCGAGGAATTCTATAGTCACTGCACCATCAGACATCTTGTCCTACTTGGATTATTGCCTAAGTAGTAAAGCTGCAGTGCTGCTTAAGCTTAGGAATGAAAATACGGGGTATATTATTTAACCAGAAAATAACCTGGACTTGATGTATTGTACATGGGGGGTTGGGGGGGAGTTTTGCGCTAATACTGTATGATAAGCACCTGTATCTGGTGGTTGTGGAATAGGGAGGGTTGTGAAGATTGGTGCAGTTCGCGCATAATATCCTCTTTTACAGTATAAATAAATATAAAACGTCCCTTGTGGGAGCCCCCCTGGGGCATAGTGCCCTGAGAGCTCAGTCTAACAGTAACGGAGTGCCTGTTGGTTTGGATAGAATTACATTTAAAAGTTCTTGCAGTGTTGCAAATAAATTTCTGTTTAGGCATACCTTTTATCCCGAGGTTGTTTCGCCGCCCTCAGTAATCCAGATCATCCATTAGCCTGTGCATGGAGTATATCTGTGTGTTAGCAGCTTCTACTGAGGCTTGAAGGTATTGTACCTGGGAGTGAAGCAC